GGAGTAGTGCGTTTTGTAAAAGGCACCATTTGAGAAAGCTACCGTAGTCAAACTGTCATTTTACATACGATCAGCCCGATATCGGTATCATCCAATGAGCCCTGTGATCTCTCATCACAGGGATTACGGTAATTTTGTAACCAACAAAGCACTCATAACTAAAATACTTAAAAATCGGTTTTATTATAGTATTTACCAGCAGAAAACGCTCACTAACGCTCGCGTTTCACTGGGGAGGTACGTTTTCCGCACAATCTAAGCCCCGCCCCTTCTTGCCAGTGGCTGAGTACAAACGGACAGAAGTCTTTTCTACTTTATATATAGTAGATTATCTATTACAGTATTCCAGGGTTACAATACCTGGTTGATTGCCTGCTCCAAAGTGTTTTACTCCTGGCGTCCTATTACAGGGATTACTCTAGTATTTAGTATCTAAGTGACCTATAATTAGTATTCATTTCTCAAGTAGGTATCTCAAGTTCGTAGTATTTACAAGCTAATACCGTCAGACCGGGTCTCAAGTCTCAAGACTTAGCTGTTTGTTTGGAAAAGTGGACCTGCTGTTCAGTGGTCGTTATATTACAGGGACTACGGTGGTTTTGCACCCAATAAAACCTTTCCAGTATTCATATCTACTTAAAATTATTATAGTTTATCTATTACCGTACTACCTATCAAGCAAACCCGCAAGATTTGGTTGATTGCTTGAAAAGTAGAAATAGAATGAGATCTTCCTAGATGGATTACTCTAGTGTTCTATATTACCGTAGTCCCTGTGGCATTTACTATGTTAGTATCTGTTTAGTATATATCTAGATGGTCAACGAACTTGAAAAACTAGTGAGGTTTTTAGAATTCAAACCTCGCAGTATCGAGGGGAATGTGACGAATCTCTACTGGGAAGGCAACGAGCTGAAAGCCTACATTCAGTAGTTTGTTTTTCAGATATTTTTAGAACTGATATCTTTACAGCAAGAGTACATATGAGGTGAAAAGTTACGACTATGAATTGCTTCAAATTCAACCCGCTGAATCCTACTTCTTGCGATCGGTGATGCGTCAATTCCAATGCGAAGAGACGAGATGGGTGGAGAACTTTGTGTGTTGTTATGATCCCAAATATGGAGGTGAGTCTTCTTTACTCGTTTCCTAAAACGTGTCAGCTTCTTTGACTACCGTGCTCTTGTCTCTATCTTTACCCAATCTATCCCATTTTATATCTTTCGACATTCTTTGTGAACCCTGGAAAAATCAGACAAAATGGGATTGGATCAAATTAGAGATAAGATTACGGTAGGAGAGAAAGGAAACACATTTTAGGAAAGTACATTATCTAATTTAAAACTCATTAAGTCAACCAAACTCTAACTTTTTCCAGCTGCGTGTGCTAGTCAGCGCAAGAACAACGATTGGATGCTGATTCCCGGATTTTTCTACCGCGCCGAGTTTCTCAAAAAGAATGAACAGGTGAGCTTATGAATATGGATAGAACAATTGGCCATCGGATACAATATTGTTGTAATTATAACTTTAGGATTATCTCGTTGCTCAGGAACGTCTCAACACAATGCCCTATTTGATGGATCGAATGGGAGAAAATATTTCGATTAAGACACACGAATGTGGCGACGCGTATAACGTCCTTGTGTGTTTTTAAACTTTTGGATTTTATTGTCAACATCAACATGTTAGTATTATATTGTTAGATTTCCGCAAAGTGATTCTTTTTGACAGAAAATGGTTTCAAATCAGAGTTTCTGTATACCCTGTAAAGCAGGGCAGCCCCGTCAGAGCCATTCAGGGAGGGACTCTGGCAAACTCAGGAACTCAAAGTATGCTGGAGGTCAGACCAGTTTCAAGCCTGATTTCCAGGGCAGTCCCGTAGCAAAGGCAAGCCAGGTCAGCTTGTTTTTTTGACCGGGCCAAGCTTCTGATCCGAACCGAAACCAGCGAAACTACCAGCTGTTGTGTATATCTACATCTGTTGTGAGTTTAAATGTGCTAAACTCAAATCAAAGTTGGTTTTGAGCTGTAAGCGCTCCCAAATACCTATTTCTGTTACTGAACCATTAAAGCATTGGAATTTTTCTTGATCCGGTCGTTTTAAGCTACCATTTTGCTTTTGTTGATTAGCAAGTTGATTTTCCAGCGTTTTGACATCACAAACGAGAAAATCGCCATTGTTTCCAAAAAGAAGCTCAGCAGACACAAAAACCTCACGTCCCTATTGCTGATTGATCCATTCGATGAGAATGATCACAAATGTTTTCAAGGAGAGGAACCATCTTTGGGTAATATTTTCAAATCTAACTAAAATAGAACAACATCTTCAGACAGATTGTACGGGATTTGGGTGGACCGAGACGTGGTTTGGATGCTGTCTTGCTCTTTTAGGTCCTGAGTTTTCGAAAGTAGGAAATTATTGAATCTACCACCAGTAAGACTTTAAGAGCCACCAGCATGGGTCGAACTTGCGGCCTTTGGCTTATTAGACCCACGCTCTAACCGACGGAGCTATGGCGGCACTGGTGTGAGAGGGAAATATTTTGATTCCTAATACAAGAGCCGTCAATTCCTAGTTTCACAAGTGACGGAATTGAGGGTTAAAAAGATAAGCGAGAACTCTTCAACAACTTAGAAATTTGTGATTTAAGAATTTTCACCCCGAAGTAACGTACGTTTGCCGTATAGAAAAGCTACCTAATCTAGAAAAGACTGTGGTAACCGGGAAAAGCGACCATTACCAGAAAGGTTACCTATCGTAAGCTATCGGACAACCTAAATCAATGATTCATTAGTTCTTTGGCTTAAGATTTTAACTCTGTTCTGATTTCAATGATTTCAGTTTAAAATTTCAGTTGTTCTGTTCGTCTTCTCACCCTCGAAGGTCTCCAACCCATCTACTACTACCCGATTTCTCAACACGGGGATTTCACCGTGGTTTCTTTTTATTTTGATCCAGTTTTGAAGAAAGCTACGGCCAAGCGCTGTAAAAAAACGATAAACAAATACAATATAAAAGTGTTCAACTTGACTCGTTCAGAACTCTAACACAAAAAAGCATGATCCACGATTCGTCGGGAAAACGGAGAACAACTACTTGAATATCTATACTTTTGTCAATGGGAATGATTCGGCTAAAATTATTCGAAAACGACTTTCATTTCCCGTCAATAACCCCAAGAATTAGTGGGTTGAGTGTCCAAACTTTAATATAAACTTTAGGCTATTCAATCAACAAAAAAATTTTCTATGCAGTGGTTTGTTACGGTAATGGTGATTCTTCATAAAAAAATTGTATTCGGTTGTGATTGGGGCACTGTAATTGGGTTTTTTTTACTAGAATTCAGTCCATTTTTGACGTCTATGTAAATTTAAGATTATTGACTGTTCTCATCACGCCATTACTGTAAAAATCTCGATTAGATGCACCGATCTCATCATTTATTCTATGAATTTATACATCATCTACCCTTTCTAAATTGAGCGTAATACGGGTTTGATTTCTGTGAAATTTTATGTATCAACAAGTGTCGTGTAACTAAACTGTGATTCTTTTCAATAAAACATAAAAATTCACGGTTTTACACACAAGTAATGGATTTCGTTTTTCTTTCTTCATACTTTTTTCTTTCTTTCTTCATGTGTATTCCTTCTATTACGTGTTGAAAGTTCGCACGGCGGCTCGAATCTTACAAATATTGAGTTATTCAGTGTTTATAAGTATTCAGACGTCTACAAGTTTTCTATAATACTCTAGTTGATTTCTAAGTTTATTCTCAAAAAAGTTATCGGATTCCAGATGAAATCCAACTCGAGAAGGATCTCTCCTTTCACTGTTGTTGTCAACTTCTTGTCCTTCAATGCGTATCATCGCTTCTCGCAGTTTCTGATCTGGAATAGAGCCTTTGAGTGTGCCAGAAAGGGCTTGTTTCCACTTTAGAGCACAAAGTACATAAAGACGACTTGATAAGAAGAAAATTTACCGCTATCAATGGAATGGAGACTTTCCCGAGGATCTTCATCGTAGACTCAAATTTGTTATTAGGATCTTCCTCCTAGACGGTCACTTCGAGACATTTGTGAATATCGCGAACCGAGCTGGAATAGAAGATTTTAAAAATATAGGTCCAATAGGTTTAACTAGTTAAAAATCCACAAAATGAAAAGCTTATTCCAAAATGGAGACAGGATGTTGTACTCGCTGTGCGTCTGGAGACGGGTGTTCACCTGGTAATGAAAGAGCTGGAAATTCTAATTGGTAGACTCAATAAAATGAATGAATGACACCTTCCCGATAGATAGATGTTCCCTTTTGGAGTCTGGAAAGGCGAAGGAGTGATGAGAGACTGAGCCAACTTCGTCATCTTGGGCGTCACTATGCCCAAATTTCTGGAACCGATTTCCGCCCCAACCGCGGCTACACCCTTGCCTCAATTTCCACTTCCTGTTAAACCATTGCGTCACTTAAAACAGTAGCTATACTGGGAGCGATGCATTCGGCTTTGATTTTTTTAAGACTATGTGGTCCAATCAAATAGAATTTGGTAGTACTTTGGTAGTATTCTATCATGTAAAGAGACGGTAAGTTTTTTATTTGAAATGCTTTTCTTTATGATAAGTCCAGAAATACAACTTTATACATTAAATTATTAATCAAAATTGTTTAAAAGTATATGAATTTCGGTAAAAGATACGAATTTGGACATTAAAAGACATCTAGACTTGCTTATTTACGGTTACGGTAAAGAACTACTTACGGTAATCCAAATTCCTTTACGGATTACGGTGACCAGTCCGTGCTTTCTATTTGGCACTAACTTGACTAATAAGCAAGTCTATGGAAATCACACAATAAAACAATCAATATGTTATGCATCTCGTAATAATCCAAATGAACACAATTCGAGGAAAAGAGATCAAAAAGAGAATGAAAAAGAATCAACTGATCAAGCTACCGACAAAATTAACATACAAAATCAAGATCAAAAGCTCATTTAGGTCTTCACAGCTCGCCCTCCGCTGCCCTTCTTCAACTAAAAATGTAGAATGAGAAACTGTACTCGTTTGTATTTTACTGTAAAATACTAATAGCCCAACTCATTACAGTTTCCTTGACTAAAGAATATAGTATGCTTTAATATGCTATAGTATTACAGTACAATAAATTATTACAGTAGTACAGCTTTAGCATTGCAGTATACTAGATTTTAAAGTATACAGCTGACTCGAAGACTTTTAATTCCAATATACCGTATTCCAATATAACAGTACATTACTATATCCCCTTGGCTAGTTATTAGCCTAGAATAGTATAAATTTAGTCGAATCTTAATCTACCTTGGACATCCACTATCCGTAATATTCTCCTACAATTTGAATAAATGAAAGAAAAGTCCAAGTTGTCAATGATCCCTTTAACACTTACCGGTTTCTTGACTCCACCTTGACCAACTCCGCGCATATTGTTCTGATTTTGCGGTTTCCCACCTTTAGCCGGGCTTCCTTTCATTCCACCGCGCATCATGCCTAAATCAAGAATGAAAAAATGTATTATAATAGACAAAAGTAAAGTCTAAGTTTAGACACGGGTTTTAAAACCGACCCATTCCCGGCCTTGGTCCACCGGGGCCCATCCTTCCCTGCATCCCTCCGCCCATCTGCATCGGTCCGCCCATCAACGGCTTCGGTCCGCCCATCATCGGTCCACCCATTCCGCCCATCATTCCCATTGGTCTCGGTCCATCCATCATTCCCATTGGTCTTGGTCCATCCATCATTCCCATTTGTCCGGGTCCTGCGCCCATAATCCCTTGCATTCCAGGCCCACCCATCATTCCTTGCATCGGGCCTGGTCCACCACCCATCATACCTTGACCTTGTCCACCACCCATCATACCTTGGCCTTGTCCACCACCCATCATACCTTGGCCTTGTCCGGGGCCACCTAGAAGCAAAAGGAAACTGTAAATTGTATAGAATGGTAAAGAGCTAATCAAATCAGTATGGGTATTGTAGAGACCGTAAATACTATAATAGAATGCCACCTCCTCGTACAAACGCGTAGTCTAACTTCTTTTTAGAAAATCATTTGTTTCTCAGCGCCTAGGCTTTTCCCAACTACACTTTTGGTACCAAAAGATACTAGATTTCAAGGGCTATCATTTGACACCTAAGCACACACTGTAGCATAAAGCAGCGCGGAGAATGGGACGTTCAAAGTTAGACTGCGCGATTGTACGCCGGTCATTATAGGGGTGGCGTTCTATTAGAGTATTTACGGTATTTGGTTATCCAATACACTAGAACAATGAGGCTTGACTCTGAGATCCTTAGGACTGAGCCAGATCTGATACTTATATCAGCCCCTGATACTAAAAGCTTACTATCAGCCAGACTTTGATACTAAGACCGGAGATCCTGGGTCTTGATACCTTTATACTAGTTTGCTAAGTACAAAAGCATTGAACAGATTGGACCCTGTTCAGAATGGATTTGGATGCAGTTATCTACCGTGAAAATGTTATGACTACACTAGTTTGTGAGTTATGACTAAGTTTAAATTAAGTCTATTATTGCTTCCTTATGGCCATCACCCATAAGGATTGCAAGTAATGTTTATCCACCTTGTCCCTGTATTCCTGGCCGTTGTCCACCTCCAAATCCACCGCCCATTTGCCCTTGTGGCATGAGTGCCATTGGTGAGCCCATATTATTGCCTTGTTGTTGTGAACTCAACGCGAAAAGCGATGGGATTTTGGCGTCCCCCATTTGGCCTAAAACAGATGCTTATTTAAGGTTTGATAGTTCAGTAGATTCTAATAGGCGCGCTGGAAAAAAGAGCTATCGTAAACTTGATAGGGTTACTGTAACTGAGACCAACTTGCAGGTTGATTCTGTTGTTGCTGCAGAATAGGCTCAGGCTTGAATGCTTGTGCGGCTGTCGGGGCTGGTGGTTGCTGCTGTTGTTGAACTGGAGTTGAAATGATTGGCACAACTGGCTTGTTTGAGTTTCCACTCTAAAATCAACTGGGTTAGGCTTTCTAGATAATTTTCAAACCAACCAATGTTTTCTCCTTCATCGCAAAAGCCATCTTTGCCAAGTCGCACATTTTCTCGAACTCTGGATCATTTCTCGCTTCTTCGACCTCTTTCCGGTTGCGAATCACCGACAAGCAATAGCCCTGGAAAGATTTTGGTTGATTAATTAATGTTTATTGCATCTTATGGGACATTTTTGCTAATAGATAGCTAGCGGATGATACTTCTAGTTAGGAGTAGGATTGATCCAAAATTCTGGGTTGGCCAGGATGCTAAAAACAGTCTGCTGACCTTGGCTGACTCACAGCCCTGGTTCTGGCCTAGTTCAGCTTCCAATAAGTGGATCTGATCTGGCTGTTCAGACCTATAATGATTACAATAATTTTTGAGTCGTCAGGTCAAGCTAGTCCCAACCTCCTGACCTAGCCTGACTTACAGGCCTGGTTCTGACTTACTATTAGTTTAATTTTCTGTTAGACTCTGCTGAAGAACACTAATTGTAAGCCTGGATAGAAAAGCTCTGACCCAGGAATACTAATCGTATGGAGTACCAATAGTGCAAAGCTTAAGCTTTAGTAAGCTAATGAAGTATTTCCTTCTCTTTCTTCCTTTCTTTCTCTTTCTTGTCTTTCCTATTTCTTCTTGGGCAAAGTGGTAGATCATCTACCCGGTAAGCTGAAGGTCGGGGGTTCAATACCCTCTCAATTCCAAATTCTTTGCCATTCATTTCTTTACTTTATTACTGAAACTTTAACTCACTTGTGCAATAGCGAGCTTGTAGCGTGTGGCCAAGTCGAGTTTGACGGGGAACGGTAACTCAGTTGTATGAATGAGAAAAGCCTCGCAACGCTCACGCACAAGAACACATTGAAGGGATGATGAAACGTCGAGAAGAGTCGACACATTTGATGCTAAAAAGGGATTCTTATCGATTGTAGATTTGAATCTTGAATTGATGAAGCATGATGAGAATTGGGCGGATTTGAAAAAGGAAAAACAAATTCAGAGTTGATATTATCAACCGGAATGATGAGTAATGGCAATTTGCGGCAAAGAATTTTTTCAAGCATAGACCGTGGATTGTAAACAAAAGCGGTCTAAAGTCTGGTTTTTACAGTTTGAATTTTTCAAATATTTGAAAAATATCATTGCTCAAGAAGTTTTCAAATGATATTCGGTAGCAATTTTGACCACGAAAGGATTTAAAAGCGTAAAATATATAAAACAAACCATTTCATAAATTTTGGCATCTTCCGAATAACCAAAAACAATTTTCGAGCGTTTGGAAAAATTTTTGCCACTTTTTAAAAGCTTCAAGAAGTAAAAACATCGCGTTAATAGTTGAAGAATGGTCAAAATGACCAATCGGGTGGCACTTTATTATAAAAACGAAAAACTAAGTTTACATAAAAAACGTTAAGTGCAAAATGAATTGAATCTTTTAGCTGAATATCTTCTTTTAAAGGCTAATTGGGAAAATTTTTGTATTAAATTAAATTTCTTCCCGAGATTTATGTGCAAGTATGTGGTTCATTTTTTGTGCTAGTATACTTTTCCAAATCCACGGTCCAGAGGCTCAGCGCTTTCAAAAAAGTTTGCAACTCTTTCATGAGTTTTTAGTAGATGGAAAAGGATCATATCCCAACCAAAGTTTGAAATTTGTAAAACAAAAGTTTTAACGATCCAGTTCTGATCCAGTAACAATCTAGTAAAGACCTAACGATCGGGTAACGATCTAACGATCCACTTCTAAGGATCTGGATTAGCTAGTCAGTTCTGTAACCCCAAAAGAAATTCAAACTTTCAAAAGAAAATCTTTTGTTAACCTCAAAGGAGGAAAAGGGGGCACAGTTAAAGTCTTACCATTGACGGGGGCGTTGTTGAAAAGATTTTCGAGAAAAGTTCTGAAGTGAGAGTGTTGAATGGCTCCTGGCAGCTGCGTCTTGCCATCGACCACTGAGGCGCCCCTCAGAGCGGGACTGTGGTAGGCGAGTAGCTAGAAAAGAAAGAAAAAAGAATGCACAAAGTGTGCTGGCCAAAGAAAAAGGCCTTTTTGGCTGAGAATTTTGCAAATCGCAACTGTGAGTTTAAGGTTTTGGAATCGAAAAACGCGCGTATGGGGAGTTTAGGAGTCCGACAAAAGAAGAGGAGACACATGCACAAAACCTTTATAAGCACAAAAGAAAAATGAAGTTCCTAACTATGCTCACGGTTGTCAAGAGCCAATTTTGTCTTAAACAGTGGTTTTAAATGAGAAGGTTTAAAGAAGTACGTTCAAAAATACGATTACAGTAGCCTTATGGGCATTTTAGTCAAGATTCCTTTTGCATTGAAGAAATTGTCCATGATTGAAACCCTTTGTTAGAATTTTTTTTTAAGAGAAACTTATATCAAAGTTGAAAAGGTAGAAAAGCGGATAAAAAGTGCTTTCGGACCCCACCACTCCCCGAATTTTGATTGCAAAAAGCTGATTTTGATTGTGATCAGCGATCTTTTGACCTCTAAAGACTATCCAAAAACATCAGAGTGATCGAAGTTCTGAAAAATTTGTAAAACGTAGAAAATTGTGATTTCCGTGGAAAACACTTAGCAAATATGCCCAAATTCGAGTCCTACAGTATGCCCGAGTTTATGAGCTCGAAATGAGCATTGAATGAATTTTGAAAACTTTCAAAAATTAGCTGAAAATGTGCTTAGAATTATGAGAAAACTGATTTTTTTGAGCTTTACACAAATACAATGTTTTGGAAGCACATGGGTCTGCTTTGGCTTTGAAAGTAAAAACAAGATTGTAAGCTAAAAACACCCGGCTATAGAAAAAGATCGAACCCTGGACGGGTGTTTCAAGTGAATTTCAAGTACTTGCTAAACATGAAGCTTTCAAAATAAGATCAAATAGAATCCAATCGCCTACCTGGAAATTGACGGGAACTGGTTTCCCCTCAACATAGACAGCCGTGTTGGCATCATCTGGGGTGACAGTGTGAAAGTCGGGTATTGGAAGGGCTCTGGAATGACAAGAGTAAAACTTTGATCGGGACTTCTTGAGTTTTTATTGATTACAAGATTTTCTGTAATTCATAGATTAAAATACAGTACCTCACGTCAACTTATCATACTCATAAAATCATAAACTTTGGAGTCTTAATCGGTTATGGGAGATTTGATACGCGCTCCGCCCCTTTTGCCATTGGCAAACTAACTTTGAGCTCAAATATCTTAGTGTTGGGCTGCCCAATTTAAGATTCTTAGTATTATCTTAGTAGGTCTTTCTCTATTGATTAGTAGAAAAACTATTCAAATTGGACAGCCCAACACTAAGATATTTGAGCTCAAAGTTGGATTGCCAATGGCGAAAGGGGCGGAGCGCGTATCCAATGTCCCACAATCGTCTTAATCTGATACTATAATATTTGCTTCAAAAGTACCTCACGCCAACTTTCGACACTTGCACTTTGAGCGGTGAACGCATTGGAGCTCTTGGGATGAGCCCGTGTTGAAGAGTGTTGCGCCAAGGGATCGCGTGACGATTCGAATTAAATGAGAACTCGACGTCACCAGACTAAGCAACATTTATTAGTCAGGGTATTCCAACCAGGCCCTAGGGCCTGTAAGTTAGGCTGTACCTGAGTTCAGGTCTAGCTTTTGGTGTGTCCAAATATTAGTTTGCTAGATTATGTTCCTGCTCACCTCAAAACTGATGTTATTGATGTTGAGTTGGAAACGAGCTGTCACCGACCAGACAGTGTTTGGAGAAACCGGGTCAACTTCCATGAAAGCGACGCACTCGTTGGCCGTCTTTGCCTCGACGATGAAACGCCTAAAAGATTGAGATTGGAATTTCTAACGGTAAATGATCTACAGTATGATTGAGTGATTGCTACATTGAAAGAGGTAAATGATTCAACAGTAATCACAGTAATACAATAATCAAGCTATTACAATAATGTCGAGCTAATGAGTCAAGTGAAGCCAAAACTTTGGCTTTTCAAATGTAGAACTATCAAATTACTGTATTTGCCCAATAACCAAATCTGTAACATATTGGTAAAAGACCACTCACCAATTGAACTCTTGCAGTGTCAGAATTGGACTCCGATAGACGTCTCCCGGTTTCCCAAAGTTCTCCGGCCCACAATTGAGAGCCAACGGCGCGATGTAGGTCTCGTTGGCGCCACCAATCACTGAAAATATTCAAATAAGTAAATTGAGGAATTTTTTAATCCTAGTAAGTTTTTTCAAACTCACTTGAGATACATTTCTCTTTGAGTTGTTGATTGGCGACTCGCCGACACAGAGAACGAACGACGAATGTCAAATCTTCGACCGAAGACTGGGAAAGAGCTAAAAATTTAGCTGATTATGTTTTAAAGTTTTAAATTATTGCTTTTTAAAATTTTAAGCCAAAACTCACATCCAGAACATGTTTGATCGTTGCCAGCAATGATCAGCAAATCGTTGAAGAGCGGCCAGAGACGTTGATCGACCTGAAAAAGGTTTATGGTGAAATGTAATGTAAAAATTTGACTCCAGGTTATAAAATACTCAAGTTATTTTCCTAAAAAAATAAGCTACAGTATGCTTTTTGAAGTCTAACAATGAATAGGTTCGGTTTTCCAACTCACCGAAACAGTCGCTGAAGATTTCCCGTTGTTATTCGGTTGTTGACCCATTCGCATCATGATTACTGAAAAAGATATGGATGAAATTGATTTTACAACAAAATGAGCAAAGAAGTGAACATGATTTTAGAAATTTGAAAGTGGTAAGTGAAAGTTTAAGTGGTAACAATTATCTGGGAGGCAGATGAGCAATTTCTCTATAATAATTAAGTAATTGACTACCCAGATAATTGTCTATCAAAGCTTTTACTTATATTGCTAGCCTAGCTCCAAAAGCCCAGCGCAATGATGCTAAAAACTAAAATACGCTAAAGCACTTAATAATAAGCTAGCAAAGTAAACTAAAATAATCGCATCTGAAAGCTTTTTTTTATTGCCATGACTTTTAACTATCATACGCTCCCCTCAAGTACACTTCTTCACTGAAAGCTAGAATGGGATCCTATTCTAAAACTGATTTCTCTAATAAGCTATGAAAATGAAAAGTAAATACGAAAATCCTTCAGACTACCGATCGATAACCGCAAAAAGAAACACAACGCGCGTGCAGCCTTTGTCGAGACGCGACGCGACCGCCGCGAAGCGGAGAGCGGCTGGATCTGTTATAACTTGCAAATATAAAACAACTTAATTATTTTCGGGTAATAATCAATGTTATTATAGTAGAAAGTTCGGCAATAATTTAATTTAAACGTGAAACGTTAACGGGTAAATATTGTATCAGCAAGACTCTGTCAAACTGGCTTCGAAGTTTAACACCGCCCCACCAGACCGGAGCCAGACGATCATTGAATAAAAGATAAAGAACCTAGAGTAGTACGGTTGATTTTTAGCTTAGATTTTAATTTCTAAAACTGTTTTTGGTCTTAATCTGGAAACTGGTTTGAGTAACAGCTGCCCGTAATCCTTTACTTGTGTGTAAAACTGTGAATCTTTATGTTTTATTGAAAAGAATCACAGTTTAGTTACACGACACTTGTTGATACATAAATTTTCACAGAAATCGCGTCCGTATTAAGCTCAGTTTAGAAAACGTAGACGATGCATAAATTCATAGAATAAATGATGAGATCAGTGCATAAAATGGTGATGAAATATCTCGATTGCAGAGAATTTTACAAAGATTGCGTGAATAGAAACAATCAAAATGTCAATAATCTTAAATTTACATAGAGATCAAAAAATGGACTGAATTCTATTAAACAGCCCAATTACATTTCAAAATCGAATACAATTTTTTATAAAGAATCACAATTACCGTAAGAAACTACCGCATAGAAATTTTTTTTGACTTTACATTAAAGTTTAGACACTCAACCCCCTAATTCTTGGGGTTATTGTCGGGAAATGAAAGTCGTTTTCGAATAATTTTAGCCGAATCATTCCCGTTGACGAAAGTATAGATATTCAAGTAGTTGTTCTCCGTTTTCCCGACGAATCGTGGATCGTGCTTTTTTGTGTTAGAGTTCTGAACGAGTCAAGTTGAACACTTTTGCATTGTATTTGGTTATAGTTTTTTTACAGCGCCTGGCCGTAGCTTTCTTCAAAACTGGATTAAAATAAAAAGAAACCACGGTGAAATCCCCGTGAGAAATCAGGTAGTAGTAGATGGGTTGGAGACCTTCGAGGGTGAGAAGACGAACAGTACAACTGAAATTTTAAATTGAAACCATTGAAATCAGAACAGAGTTAAAATCTTGAGCCAAAGCACTAATGGATGATTGATTTAGGTTGTCCGCTAGCTTACGATAGGTAACCTTTCTGGTAATGGTCGCTTTTCCCGGTTACCGCAGTCTTTTCTAGGTTAGGTAGCTTTTCTATACGGCAAACGTACGTTACTTCGGGGTGAAAATTCTTAAATCACAAATTTCTAAGTTGTTGAAGAGTTCTCGCTTATCTTTTTAACCCTCAATTCCGTCACCTGTCAAACTAAGAATTGACAGCTCTTGTATTAGGAATGAAAATTTCCCTCCCTGCGGCCATAGCTCAGTGGGTTAGGGCGTGGGTCTAATACTTGATACTTGGATAGCCCACGGTCCCAGTTTCGACCCTTGCTGGCGGCAAATCCATTTGGCTTTTTGAAAACTTTAATGCCAAAACAATAACAGCTTTTGTTTATTTTAAACTTATTTACCTTTTACTTTTTTTTTCTACAGTAATTTGCCTAAAAATTTACTTGATTGATTGATCATTGATCATTGAGCTTTGATCTAATAAGGCAAAGGCCGCAAGTTCGACCCATGCTGGTGGCTTTTAAAGTCTTACTGGTGGTAGATTCAATAATTTTCTACTTTCAAAAACTCACGACCTAAAAGAGCAAGACAGCATCCAAACCACGTCTCGGTCCACCCAAATCCCGTGCAATTTTTCTGAAGATGTTGCTATATTTTAGTTATTATTCAAACTATTACCCAAAGATAGTCCCTCTCCCTGAAAACATCTGTGATCATTCTCATCGAATGGATCAATCAGCAATAGGGATCGGGTGAGGTTTTTGTCTCTGCGGAGCTTCTTTTCGGAAACAATGGCGATTTTCTCGTTTGTGATGTCAAAACGCTGGAAAATCTATGTTTGCTTGAATATAATCAACAAAAGCAAAATGGTAGCTTAAAACGACCGGATCAAGAGAAATTCCAATGCTTTAATGGTTCAGTAACAGAAATACGTATTTGGGAGCGCTTACAGCTAAAAACCAACTTCGATCTGAGTATAGTACATTTAAACTCACAACAGAGCTGATTCAATGGTAATTTCTCTGGGTTCGGTTCAGATCAGAAGCTTGGCCCGGTCAAAAAAACAAGCTGACCTGGCTTGTCTTTGCTACAGGACTGCCCTGGAATTCAGGCTTGGGGCTGGTCTGACCTCCAGCAGACTTTGAGTTCCTGAGTTTGCCAGAATCCATCTCTGAATCAGACCAGACTCTGACCGGCCGGCTTTACAGGGTATATAGAAACTCTGATTTTAAACCATTTTCTGCCAAAAAGAATAACTCTGAGGAAATCTAACAGTATAATACTTTTGATGTTGAGAATAAAATCCAAAAGTTTAAAGACACACAAGGACGTTATACGCGTCGCCACATCCGTGTGTCTCAATCGGAATCTCTTCTCCCATTCGATCCATCAAATAGGGCATTGTGTTGAAACGTTCCTGAGCAACGAGATAATCCTAAAGTTATAATTACAACAATATTGTATCCGATGGCCAATTGTTCTATCCATATTCATAAGCTCACCTGTCCATTCTTTTTGAGAAATTCGGCGCGATAGAAAAATCCGGGAATCAGCATCCAATCGTTGTTCTTGCGCTGACTAGCACACGCAACTGGAAAAAGTTAGAGTTTGGTTGACTTAGCGAGTTTTAAATTAGATAATGTACTTTCCTGAAACGTGTTCCCTTTCTCTCCTACCGTAATCTTATCTCTAATTTGATCCAATCCTATTTTGTCTGATTTTGTGAGGGCTCACAAAGAATATTGAAAGATACAAAATGGGATAGATTGGGTAAAAATAGAGACAAGATCACGGTAGTCAAAGAAGTTGACAAGAAGTTTTAGGAAACGAGTAAAGAAGACTCACTTCCATTGTTGGGAACATAACAACACACAAAGTTTTCGACCCATTTCGTCGCTTCGCATTGGAATTGACGCATCACCGATCGCAAGAAGTAGGATTCATTTGAAATTTGACGCAGTTCATAGTCGTAACTTTTCATCTCATACGTACTCTTGCTGTAAAGATATCAGTTCTAAAAATATCTAAACAACAAACTATTGAATGTAGGTTTTCAGCTCGTTGTCTTTCCAGTAGTAACTCATTACATTTCCCTCGATACTGCGAGGTTCGCATTCTAAAGAAACCTCACTAGTTTTTCAAGTTCGTTGACCATCTAGATATATACTAAATATGATACTAACATAGTAAATGCTACAGGGACTACGGTAATATAGAGCACTAGAGTAATCCATCTAGGAAGATCTCATGCGTATTTCTGCTTTTCAAGCAATCAACCAAATCTTGCGGCCTTGCTTGATAGGTAGTGCGGTAATAGATGATAAACTATAATAATTTTAAGTGGATATGAATACTCGAAAGGTTTTATTAGGTGCAAAACTACCGTAGTCCCTGTAATATAACGATCACTGAACAGGAGGCCTACTTTTCGAAACAAACAGCTATCAACCAGGTATTGTAACCCTGGAATACTGTAATAGATAATCTACTATATATAAAGCAGAAAAGACGTCCGTCCGTTTGTGCTCAGCCATTGGCAAGAAGGGACGAGGCTTAGATTGTGCGGAAAACGTGGGCCTCCCCAGTGAAACGCGAGTGTTAGTGAGCGTTTTCTGCTAGTAAATACTATAATAAAACCAATTTTTAAGTATTTTAGTTATGAGTGCTTTATTGGTTACAAAATTAACGTAATCCCTGTGATGGACGTCCCGAATAGTCCTAGTTAGAGTGTGTTTCTCCCAAGTAATGCGGTGTCTAAAACGCATCTACTTGAGAAAACTACCCTAGTCAAACCGTTAATTTGCATTCAGTTAAATCAATGTTGGTATCTTTCAATGAGGAATCACAAGGCTCATTGAATGATACCGATGTCGGGCTGATCGTAAGTAAAATGACAGTTTGACTAAGGTAGCTTTCTCAAATGGCGCCTTTTAGAAAACGCCTTGTCCTTGTTTCGAAGCAATTAGCTGAATCTTGTGACCTTGCTCATCAGGTATCACAGTAACAAATACTATAAAGGCTTACAATTAGATACTTAAGATATAATTACTAGATATCAAGACTTACCCTCGTATCGCAACATCGAATCACCATCGGACCCTCGTGACCGAAAAGAATAAACCAAAACCACCAGAAGTACCACGAAACCAAAGATAACGGTAGCTTTGAGAAAGTCGACGCCTTTGAAATCAAGCGAGACGCAAACTAAAAATACACAAAGTTACTGTCAACAGGTTAAAAACGGTGTTTTCTCAATGCTTTTGCTAAAAAACCCCTAAAATTACCGTAATTACAGCTGTTAGTTTCCATTCGATCAGCCCAATTTTG